ATGGATGAATCAAAGCCAGTGGATGCGGATTCGGGACCGGTTTCGAGAGCTGATCAGCAGCCAACCGATGGGGACCCATCATCTACGGAGACAGATGCGGCTTCATCGGGCAAGTTTTTCGGTTTTAGTTTGGGTGGTACACAACTACGGGTTGTGTCGCTTGTGACTCAAGTAATTAATCACCTACGGAGGTATTTATTTTTTTCTCTCAAAAGATCGAGCCCAGATATGTTGAAAATTTCTCATGTTTCAGATTGCATGGATTTAGTTCGATTCCGCCTAATTGCATCGATCCTGTAGCTGTTTTTTTACTTTAATCGAAACCACTTGTCGAGGCAATGAAATGGTGTGCTTTCATAATCTTGTTTTTATAATTATGGAATTTGAACCATATTTTTTCTGTAAAAGCCATATCTCTTTGGTGCAACTGTTCAGTTTCTGCTCACTTTTACGCATATTGAGTCATCAATCAGTCCCGATGAGAACGTCCCTCATTTTATATTCTCCACAAAAAAAAACCAGAACAACCTGCCCCGGTTACAAATGACATTCCTTGCTCCGAGTCGAATCCGATGGACTCATTAACAGACCCGAAAGTTCATTCTGACGAGCCAGAGGCTCTGGATGATGCTCGCACAAATCCCAAACACAGCTACCTTTTGTTAACACGAGATGATTCTACCATGGTGAGTTCAGTTTTCCTGAGTTATTCACTTTCCTGTCCATTACCACTACCGAGCACACATCGATGTTGGTTCATCTCATTTTGCACTTACATGTAGGTATTGATCTATTCCCCGTGTTATTCGAACACAAACTCTAAATGTCTTTTTACTTCCTGTTCTTTTTATTCAGTGCACAAATGTACAGTCAACTTTCGGGAAGGGGGCCGCGGCCATACAAAGGCTGTCTAGGAAAACACTCAAATAGGGAAAATGGAGCGGTTCGAACCCGGGACCCCCGGGCCACAATTTGGTGACCCAACCACTTGGTCACCACAGCCTCTACTGAACACGTGATTAGTATCGTACAGTCTAAACGCGGTAGGGGGTTTGAAGTGAAGCTTTACTGCATTACATTTCACTTTACCTGCTTTTCTATTTACGCGGCACGCGGTGACCACCGCCCTGCCATCACGACGAGACTGCAACCTGACGTGGTGTGATGGCTTGCGCGCCTCAATGACCCTGCGAGCTATAAAGTATGGCTTCTCACAGCCGTAGATCCAGTCATGCCTGAAAGGCCAACGGGTAGAGGCCAAATAAAGCTGTCTCATAAAGCCAGCTGCTTGGGCACCTCATGGCTTCCTTTTCTATCCACACTCGCCCCTGGAGAGGCCACTCTAGCAAGTAAACACGGTGAGGGGCAGTTTACCGGTCTAAAACCCCCCGCTAGATGGACGTAGGAGCGGGGTACCTAGGGCTTCCTCTCGACG